AGCGTGGCGTAAACATCCCCCATTCATACATTCTGGGGGGACTTCTTGAAGTGCCCTGTGGCGATCACCTGATACGCATGCTCTTAGGTGTACCGGTGTGGGAGACGGGACGGGTACTGCGGGCGGTGCAGCGATGCCTGGCTGCGACTTTGTGACGTCACTGTTATAGTAAAGCAGAAGTGCTGGAACAATGCCTGGACGAGCATACCTTATTACGCGGCCTTGCCTTCCACTATCAAGGGGTAAAAGTCTTGCAACGGCTCTTGGCTGTGGCTGAAGGTGGGGGCGATACGTAATTTTATCTCAATACCCCCGTGTCCAACAAAAGCCATTAGAGTCGTTGCTTGTCACGCCTTGTACCGACGGGACGGGTGAAATTACTTGGAAACTCTTGAAGAGGATCCCAGACTACAGAATTTTGCTATTGCGACCGCAGTATTGAGTACAAATCTACACACACCACAGGTTTATGTGCCCAGAACCATTGTTGTGGGCGTCTAGCATCGTTCGACTGTTATCTGACACGGACAAAACACGTATTTCCAATCTGTCCAGGAGGTACGCACCGCACCGCATCCAGCGAGGTGGTGCCAGCGGGCAATGCGTCCCCGAGGCACGTGAAGACGAGGGCGACTGTGACCTCTGACCTCTGATGCCGGAAAATGCTATGCAGGCCGTCAGATGTGGTCCGAGTCACATCCCACGGCGTTACACTGCTGTGCCTCTGACCCCTTGGGTCCCAGAAGTGTGTTGTGACCTCCTGTCAGCATTCAAACGAGGACGTTCATAGTTCTGCAGACGTGTCCCGGGCTGGCTGCCTCCCCCGGCGTTCCACGTGTTTCGTTCCTGTGCTCTCTGTGCTTCTTTGCCTCATGAAGTCTTCTTCCGGATATTGTATCCAACAACAGTCTATTTTTGTTTTTAAAAAATGACGCTGAGCTGTTTCTTCTCAATGTCCTAGTTGCATCATGCGTCGAGTTCGTCATCCGTATAGACGTATCTGGCAGTTAACGGCATCTCCAGTTTCAGGTCTTGAAGGGTTCCATGATAGGGGTATGTGCGAATGCCAAGAATACCGGGTATGAAGATGAGAAAACAGGGGTCTCCACCCTGATGCGGGGCGGAGTATTGTCACGTTGCCCCCCTCTCATCCGTCACTGGGTCTGCCCCTGCTCTCGGCTGCTCTGTTTATGATCAGTATGATGGCATGTGGAGGTCGCAGTCGGGCCCCGATGCATGACGTCAGCCAGAGGCGCGTTCAGGATGCATTAACGGGGCGAGTGTTCGGAAGGCGCCTTGGCTGTCGTCAGTACAATTTAGGGTACGCAGTAAGGTATCCCGCGGCTGGACTAACGATGCCGCTCGTGCCTTCTATCCGTGTATTTTGTACATTTGCCCATAGATGTCTCGCCAGTGTCACTACATTATGATGATCCATGGGGTGCAGATAAGGTTGTGGTTAACGCGTCTGGGAAACCAGAGCTACGGCGTTCGATTTAATGCGATGTCCGCCCTTTCTGCTAGGGTGAGAGGCAGACGACGTCATACAGTATCAGCAGCCCAGCGCGATGTAAAGCCCCAATGACGACGATGGGACCTCTGCCGTCGTGGACCGTGTTCTAACTCAGGTCGCGTTAAAACTGCCGGAGTTATGAACCGGACCCAGGTGTCCCGATCGCAGGCAACGCCCCAACCTTTCGTCATTAACTCCTCTGCATCCATTTGCCTGCACCAATGCGTGATGCCTGCCTCACCAGACTCCCTCCTGTGCGCGCCTCTGGCGCTGCCTGCGGTTGTTTACGCTGCACTGAGGCAGACGCAGCCTGCCCCTGCTGTCCACTGGCGATTGCGTCTGCGAAGGGCGGGCGGGAAGCGCCTCAAAACAACGGCCGAGCAGGGCGATGTCCGACTCGACGGGAAGGCGTGATGTCCTAGGCGGGGATTTAGAAAGATGCGAAATAAACTGAGCAAAGTGCGGTGGCGGGAAATATGCTGCATGCTTTGTCCAGCAGTATGAAACATTGTCAAATTGTCGGTGATTAAATGGTCTTGCCGATAGAGAAGAGTGTGGAGTCCTACCGATTCAACTTCATTATGCCATAGCGCTCATGATGGTACAATGCCAATCAGGTACCGTCACATTTAAATTTGTTTTAGTAGAAACAATTGTGAATCAAATAATGGCCTCAGTGAATGACATTAAACGCCTCGTGCTTGTTGGCGTAGCCAGACATAAACGAATTAATTGCTTGGTTGGTTGCTTGGTAATTGGTTGCTCATTACTGATATTTAATTAACAACTATGCCCGCATTGCAGAGTTCTGGTATTAGATGATAACGTACTCTGACCTGTAGTGAATGAATGAATGGCACTCTCCATGGCATGAAATGGAATGGCATTGAATGACATGACATGGAATGGCAAACATGAACCACACTCGCATTCGATTCCCTGCGGTGCCCGTCCTTCCCGCCAGGGTGAGAGGCAGGAGACCCCACATGGCCTCAGCAGCTGAAAGCGGCGTAAAACCCCAATGACGACACACCACACATTCACGCACACTCGCACACGAATCGTCATGACCGTGTAGCTCGACTTCTCATTGTACCTGAATGACGTCATCCCTCCATCCTTTGGACGGCAGAGCACACCTTGATTCAACACATCTGGTCTCCTGGTTTTCCGGCTTCGCGAGTTCATGCGTCTGACATTGTCCCAGACAGAGCAGTATTATTCGATCGCTTCAATTGGCCCCGTGCCTTTGGCTTTTTACCTAGGCAGTACTCCGAGGCATCCCAGAATAAGAAGAAAGCGAGTTTGAGGTGAAACTGGACAAGTTTAGCCTCCTGACCGTCCGGAGTTATTCAAATCATGGGTCGACGCCTGAACCGTGATCGTGCCATGCCTGTTGTCAGGTATATCATGTCATGCGTGTCAATCAACCCCGCCCGTGGTTGGAACGGCTAGACACGTTCCCTAACTCCAACCTCAACGTTTTTGTTTGAAATGGCATTCGAACTGACATTTGGAACCGCAGGAATGGACTGCAGTTCGGAGAAAATGACCGCATCTAATTCGCACATCTGTCAAATTCGCTTTGGGCACAGGCAGCGCCTCGTCAAAACGGCTCATTTTGTTGCACTTGATGTAATACAAAAAACGCACTTGCCACGATCTTCAACTCGTGTTTGATTCAGTGAGGCCGTTTCGGCCATTACATTCATGCCAGATGCAAGTGAAAGTTGTTGGCTTACGATTGTCTACGATACCAGATTTGGGATTGCAATGGAGTTTAAGCGACAGCATATTTGGAAAGGATTTTGTCAGATACGTTGCGGAGATCTCGCCTTTCACGGTGCCGCCGGCGCTCTTCAGATTCTGATCGCAGTAACGCTGTGTAAGAACGTGTGGTGGTTGCGAAACCTTCAACTCGGTTTTGGGTCTTTCTGTCATGCTAGTTTTGGGAGTGTTGGTCTCACATGAGGAACAGTGTCGAAACCAGAGACGGCAACAATGCCGTCGTTTTTCGTATATGTGTGACATCCGTCGGCAAAACAAAGCGAATTGGCACTATGATATGCGAGACTGAAAGCGTGGAAGACACATTGACGTAAACCAAGCTTTGCATAACTTTGGTACGACCTGATGGCGCTCCGCTGTAATAATTGGATTACACCAGTTTTAAAAACAGCTCCTCCTTCCGCTTTCCCACACACTAGGGAAAACTGTCATATTTGTTACCAACCTTTGATTAGTTCTCACGCTTTTGGAAGCATTGCACGCAATCAACATTGTCCTAATCCCACACGAGATTAAAAAGCCGTGGCGTGGGAATGGAGGGACAGGAACAGCTAATCTAAAACTTTAGAAAGATCTGGCCCTCATTGTTTCCAACTTTTTTTTTCTCTGGAGCAGGAGTTGTGATTCCCAAAGGTAATCACTAGTCGGACAGATTTAGAAAATCAGAAGTATCTTCCGTCTTCCATATTTTTGTTCAGCTTGCTTCATCATAACACTATTGTCGTAATTATATATTTGTCTCACATTTTCAGGCACAACTAGGATTCACTTGCCTCTCAAAGAGCCCATGTTAAGGCCGAAACTTTGCAGAAATGCTAGATCATACGGGCGACTCCCATGCGAAAATCCAGACGGCAAATCAAGCAAATATTTTGCGGCTTCTATGCATTGAAAGGGAAATAATTTTACGGTGGGGGCAGTTATTTAAAGCGGAGCTCTGCTTAATCCCTGCAGTGCAGACTGTTAAGGACGAAAGCATTGCCAAGCGAGTTGACGGATGAATCCGGAAGAGCGACGTATTTTTCGTTGCAATTTAACTTACAAATAATAATTAAATGATAAACGATAAAGTTCAACAATAATTCCAATTTTTGACAACAACGATAAATTCTGTTATCAACAAATACAAAAATAAAGTTCGTTGGCCGCAACTCCTCCAGGCATTGACCTAAATTGTTGAACGTGCCTAAAATATCAGCCAAGTTGCTGGCATCCCACCTCCTCCCCGGAAATTTTCCAGGCCTCTGCTAGTGAGGACGGAGGACTGGGAATCGTATTTGGCAAAACCTAGCGACGTCTCAACTGTGCAGCTGCGATCCGATCAGCATGGGTGCAGCGCGCCCCGCCCCCAACGTCCCCCTTTGTGTCCACCCGCGGGCGTGTCATGCGCGAGGAACGCGGCAGAGAGCGCGCGTCCAGCATTATGGCGCCGGCCCCCGTGCCAGGCGCTGGCCAGAAACGGCGCGAGCACCGCGGAGCGAGGTTTCTCTGAGGTGAGATGCGGGGTGAGCGATTCGGATACGTCGGAGCGACGAATCGCTCGGTGGGCCCTCGCTTCCGCCAATCACGTGTTAGGGCCGCACGTTTCGTCCAACCAGGAGGCCGAGCTTTTTTGACTTGACAGGTGGTAGGCCCGTGTGATGTTAGCCGGCCACCATTGGAGAAAATGAATCTAACCCAGTTTGTTCATCGCTTCCAGGTCCGCGGCAGCTCGGTGGTCGTGGTCATTGATCTCTGCATTAATCGCTCCCCGTAAACAAAACAGGTAAGTTAGTGATGTGTGTGCACTTACATCTGTACGCTTTTCCGCGCGTGTTCTGATTTGGCTCGACTGTATTCGTTTGTACGATATTTATTACCGAGTTTTTACGGCGTGCTGGTGTTGTTAGGCTTAACACAACGCACCGTGCAGCCTTTTTCACTTGGTTTTATAGTCGGATACAAAGTCGGGTCGTGGCAGAAGAGCAGCCTGGGAACACCGCTTCTGAAGCTGTAGGTAATTATTCTGAAACCATTTCGAAGGCAAAAAATAACGTTTATTTCACCACCTCGAAAATAGATAGGTTGAGCGGAGTGTGTGTGGGGGGGGGGGGGTGGGATTGTAACAAACTAGAACAAAATGTGTGAGGCGGTGGGATTGTAACAAACTAGAACAAAATGTGTGGAGCGGCGGCATTGGAACTAACTAGATGTGAAACTATGCCGAAGTTAGCTCTTTGTAGTTGTTTCAGACACTTTAAAGGTGATCCGGACCTGTCAGTGGACGTCAAACAGCCATTGAGAATACGAGGGAGGGTGGGGGGTGTGAGCAGACAATGCCCTCCAAACAAATGCGAGCTCCACTCATTGCCTCGAGACTAGAATCCCGGCGAGTTTATACATTTCCTGGCGGTGAGATTTCCCCTCGGAATCTGAGACTACAACCGCCGGAACCGTCGGTGAAAATGTCGCGTGTACAGCCCAGCCGAGGGCAACATACCGGGACCGCGGTTTTCATCTAACCTCGACCATCCTCCATCTGGACTCTAATCCCCTGGGGCCTGGGCGCGCCCTCACCACGTGATGCTGCGGGTGCGATCTCTCTCCGCGCTGCTCCTGTGGGCGAGGCCAGGGGTCAGGGGGGGCGTGACCCGGATCACGCACGTGGCTGACCCGTTCTCACGCTGCGGCTGGTTTCTCCTGCGGTGGAGGAGCCCCGCCTAAAGAAGCGGCTGGCTGGTCATCACTCAGTCTGAGTGAGAGAGCGTTAAGATGACTGGAACGCGTGGCGTTCAGAGCTGTCTCAGCAGACCATCCTAATATCAGCCTGGATGTCGTGGATATGCATATTGGATATTGGATACTGGATATTTCAAAGCGGCTCTGGCGGCCGTCTTTCAGTTCAAGCGGGAGACTTACCTTTTGCTCGACTTACAAAGCATTTTTGTGTCCAGCATGACATCTTATTAATAATAACCCGAAAGACGTCCTTCAGATTTGTAAGTTTCCTATGTGTTGTACCTGGAATTAGCCATGTTTTATGCAAACCACAATGCCTTCTTTCACTGCAGTAGGAAAGAAGCCTGAAGCAAGACGCTTAGACCGACATGCTCCTGTCCCCGGGTGAGGCCGTCTCCTGTCGTACCTCTGCCGGTGCGTCCCAACAACGGCCTCGAGGGAAACTGCCGCTATCTATTTCCATTGTCTGCCGGCGCGCCGCCGCCCTGCTGTGCTCGAGCGAGCCACGCACGGCTGGGGGCCGTCGCCTCCTTTGTCAGTCGGCGCACTCGCAGGGCACGGTTTGTTTCTGTTCGACGACGGGAGCTGTTGGAGCCTTCCATGGGATGCATTGTCAGCATTTGGCTAGTGCGGTCCCCCAGTTTTAAATGTAATCTATCCGCCCGTCCACCTTGTCTTAAGTGGCGAAGCCACTCCAGCATAGTGAATCACTGTAAGAATGGCTCAATTTGAGTTCTATTTCATGCTCAATTTTAGGTACATTTAGTGAAATTTCAACTTGTGGCTTTGGAAAATATTCTTTCCATCGGGTTCACCGTGGGCATAGCTTGCACTAACCCGCTAAGCAGTAAAGTGTTAAGGTAGTGTTATAAAGTTTGAACGTGCTTGGCGACTTGTTTCGTCCAGGATATTTTCTAACACCCTACATGAGCGGACCCAAGCTATGTTTGGGCGAACGACGTTGAGGAAAGCCGTATTCAATTTCTGACACCCTTGAAATAAATTATAAATGCCATGAGTAATGTTGCATGCTGTGTGATAGCGTTCAAGACTGGGTAAGCTGTTCATATCTCGAATAGCAACGGTGGCCGCAAAAATGCTGTCGTGGAGGTCTGAATGCCTTTTCGCTGTGCCTACCGTTCTGAGAACACATATACGGCTATAGACAGATAGCCCGAAGCGTCTATAACACTTCGTTGCCACGCAATCAAATCATAACGGGAGGAGGCCGTTGTATTGAAGGGAAAAATAAACGTCCGTAATTGGGCCTATCGTGGCCGAATCGGACGCCATGACCGTTGGTCGGGTGCTGCTGGGCAAGGTCTGATGGCGGACGGTATAGGTGCTCCGTAATTAGGCCGATGAAGTAAGTTTGCACGTTGGTGTCATGAAGCAGACTGTTCCACTTGGCTGTGGGTCATGGTCATGTTTGCCTGAAACAGTGCCGCCTGAATTGTGCAGGCTCCACTTTAACGCTTGTACTTGGGAAAAATATTAGCCTAGTTGGAGGTATCGTTATAGCGATTAATGCAGAGGAAAGAAAACAGGGGGTCGTATCTTAGTAAGTACCTGAATATGTCTGGTGGCAAATCGGTGTCGTTCGTCCGAGGGAGAAATAACCTGTATCTTCTGTGACTAAACTGTTTGCACCCATCCAATCGAACCTCTTCCTTAATTGCACGAGCATCGTTCTCCATCGGTCCGACCAAACGAAAAAGAGCTAAATATTTCCTTAGAATAACCAGCAAAACTAACCTCTCCATTAGAGAGTCGAGACGCGCGCAAATCCCAGGAAAAGTGGAATACTCTGCGCGACCGCAAACTCGGCTATTAATTGGCCTAATGGAATAATTATGATAAGCGCGATGCGACAGTATTCCAAAGCGGGGCATTAAGCCGCCTCACACTGTTGTAATTCTGTCGGCATAACTACGCACATGCGTCAGCGGGCGAAACGCAGTCTGCCACGCCTCTTTCAAAACTGAATAATACACCAGCTCCGTGAAATGTACTGTTGCGGTGAAGCGACCGCCTGGGTGCGAAATTCTCACCGTAAAATTCTCGAATGCGTTGCGATAAAGCTGATCGATGTTGGAAGCAATGCATTTATTAAATCCGCCTCCCCTCATCTGCAAACATTTTTGGCCACCCAGTATAAGCAAGGTGAGGCCGAAGGTGTAAAGAGTGTGGGTGGTTACATCGTCGAAAGGGGCCAATCTCTCTCACTTTCGCTCTCCCCCAATCAACAACAGCAAGACCCTGTCCATGGCCGAGCCCAAATCAGTAACCAGCCCCAATCGGAGTTCTAAATAAGTGAACACGGCCATGTCCATTCCGCTCGAACCCCATGACCTCTCGCGGACCTCCCCTCCTGACCTCTTGCTGACCGCCTCCACCGGCATGTGCTGATGAGCTGACTGGCTTCGTCTTATCGTCACACGTCAGAAGAACATCTCCGCATGGAAAGTTTCCCCGCTCAGATCCGGCGATGGCTGGGGCTGGTACCCAAGCAGGTCCATGTTGAGCGATGTTATCAGCGTGTTTGCGCTTCGGAGGGCCCGGATCTGATGCACTTGGCGTGTGTTTGACGCGACAGTCACCAGGTTGCGTCATCTTCTCGCGTGCATAGGTCATAGGCTCCGAAGCGCTTGTGTTTGAAAACTATGTGTAGGTAATCCGGCATCCGCGGCAATGTGCTGCGAATGGTATATATATATATATATATATATATATATATATATATATATATATATATGTGTGTGTGTATGTGTGTGTGTGTGTGTGTGTGTGTGTGTGTGTGTGTGTGTGTGTGTGTGTGTGTGTGTGTGTGTGTGTGTGTGTGTGTGTGTGTGTGTGTGTGTGTGTGTGTGTGTGTGTGTGTGTGTGTGTGTGTGTGTGTGTGTGTGTGTGTGTGTGTGTGTGTGTGTGTGTGTGTGTGTGTGTGTGTGTGTGTGTGTGTGTGTGTGTGTGTGTGTGTGTGTGTGTGTGTGTGTGTGTGTGTGTGGTGTGTGTGTGTGTGTGTGTGTGTGTGTGTGTGTGTGTGTGTGTGTGTGTGTGTGTGTGTGTGTGTGTGTGTGTGTGTGTGTGTGTGTGTGTGTGTGTGTGTGTGTGTGTGTGTGTGTGTGTGTGTGTGTGTGTGTGTGTGTGTGTGTGTGTGTGTGTGTGTGTGTGTGTGTGTGTGGTGTGTGTGTGTGTGTGTGTGTGTGTGTGTGTGTGTGTGTGTGTGTGTGTGTGTGTGTGTGTGTGTGTGTGTGTGTGTGTGTGTGTGTGTGTGTGTGTGTGTGTGCGTACTTAGGGAGCAGGTTCTCTTTTTTGCAAGCGTCGTTGTAAATGGCAGCATATCTTTTGTGCAATAAAATACCTGTTCTTCTGAACACGCTTTCTCTTATGTGGCTCAGTGAGATGTCTTAAGACAAAAATTCGGTGAAGGTCAATCACGGGGAAAATTTGCTATGAACCAATCACGGTGTGTCGGAAAAAATTGGGGGAATTTTCAAAGTACCCGAAGGAAACTTCAACACGAAAAGTCCTCCCATTCTGCGGGCGTCCGAACAATAAACAAGCGGAGTGTGCCGCTGGCGTTAACCTGGCGGTTGATCACTGAGTCCAAAAACTACCAGTCTGTCCAGCCTCAAGACAAAATTGAGCTCATCATCCTCTACCGAAGTCCTAAAGCGACCACCCTGAGGATGGTGACTAATTTATCTCAAGACACGTCTGCGCCAAAAATCACCAATGTAGTGTACTAGTTTGGCTGCGATACGGTGATTGCGTGCACCGTCCTAATGGCACCTTCAAAGGCCACACGGCCGCGGCCTTTGGCAGGCGGATTACATTGCAGATGCATGATGGAGGCACTTATCGCCATATCGCCAAGGCGTCCCACAGCAACCCACTGTGCAGACAGGTTATGTTTAATAACGCCATCATCCTCACCCACTGCTCAGACAGGTGCGAGATCCAAGTGCTGGGAGCAGTGCACATCCGTGATAACGGGGCCCTATGTCGGACCACTCGTTGCGAACATTTGGAAATTTTATAGATGTC